GCGGGGGGGTGGGGGTGTTAGACATTGATCTACCAATCTTTAGTCCCGAACAGGCTCTCAAGCCAGGCCCTTTGCTTCGCAAAGCAAACTCAAGGTAGTCCTTACCAGGCTACCTTTCGTGATATTTGCGCACTTTCTTTGTTATCGCCTTTCTCTGCCTCTCCTCTCTGTTGTCTCCCTCCTCTTTGTTTTCGCATATGAAGAAAACTGGCTCAAATGAAAACCAATAGCTACAAACAGCACGCCTATTTGCCAAAAAATGAAGTGAAAAAAAAACAAAATGGCAAGGGGGCCGAACCCGCTTCAAGCAAACCAGTACACTGCACACTGTGGAAACTGAAACAGCGACAGCTTTGAAGAAGCAGAAACTCAAATCATCTCAAATCCAAAACATCGACAGTAAATGTAAGAAACCAAACAACATCAACCGCTGCTGTACCAGCCATGTCCGTGTGGAACAGCGTCCGGCTTGTGCAGTGAGCCAAGTCTCTTGAACCAATCAGCCTTTTCTTGTGACTTCTCCATGGCCCTCACATAGTAATCAGCCGCGTCTTTTTGGGCACCTGCACACCCAGGTATGCTTGCAAATGCTGGTGCTGGACGGCAAATGGCACCAAGACTTCCCACCAAGCAAAAGCACGCCCGTTGAAGCAAGGACGCTAATTACTAGGAGCAAAGGGCATCGCAACTAGGAACAAGGGCCTTACTACTAGTAACAAGAAGCTAGTAGAAACAAGAATTACAGTAGTAACATATTCCTCTGCCGTTTTGATCGTGGCCTGAGAGCTCAGCCGCAGCGGCCTTGGCGTTCCTCAGCTTCTGGATTGCCAAGGGCGTAGCCCGGCTAGACTGTTGATTCATTCTGAACCAGATCGCCGCTGACAGGATTAGTTGTTAAGAGTTTGGGCCTATAAGACTCTACATATTTACTCCGCGCGGCCCACACCAGGCAGCAAGAAGTTTTTGGCCAGTGCCAAGGTCAGTTGATGCTCTTGCGGCACAGCATCTTGAGGACCTGATCCTTGCCACTTTTGCCATTCACAAAGTCGGCGGCCAACCTCAAAGCACGCTCGAAATGGAAAAACCAAGCGAAGGCAATACAACAAACACTTTATTGAGAGTGCGATTGCTCACGAAATGAACACATGGCAGTGTATACCACCAGGTCTTGGTGAACAACTGATGCCACTGCACTGCTGGCCAATGATCAAGCTGCACGCTTCTGATAAGCTGCTGCATGCCCCCTGTTTCTTTCTGCAATTGCATCAGAGGTGTGAGACGAGACATACAGCTGACCGGCTAAGGCTTGTGGTCAGGAATGGGGGTCCTTCAGGACGCCAAATAACTGTTCAAATAGCATTTCCACTTTTGTCTCCATGCGCCAAATGTCCAAGGCTTTGGCAGAACCTCGAAGCCGAGTGGCACCTTCTATGAATTCCATCAAAGTAATTTCGCCGTCACCGTTGTCGAGGTACTCGAAAAGAGAAAGCAAGTCATGGTACTCCAACTCCAATTGGCTCATCCAAAACTTGAGCATTGGATGTTTCACAAGTTTGCTGAACTCTTCCTGGTCAATGCATCCATCGCCGGAGGTGTCCAAGGTAAAAAACAAGTTTTTGACTTTCCTAGTGTACATGGCAATATCTCGCTCTTTTTGTTTGAAGGCAAGTTCTTCGTCGGAGCTGGCGGTCTTGATTGTCTGCTGTACAAAAACCGCGTTGACAACGTTGAGCACAGCAAAACCTTGGATGGCAGGGCGAAGCACACCTGCCCAAACATCATCGCTTTGAAAAGCTGTTCCGTATTTCAACAACCGGGTTTTAAAGAAATACCAAATTCTGCCGGTTTGAAAATGGCGCGCAAGTACAAAGGGGCTCCTTGCCTATCTTCTCAAACCTTCGAAGATTCCTCAAGCACAAACAAAGGCTGCGCTGGTCCAACCTGGTGGGTTCAATTGTCCAAATTTCTTTTCGAGACCAAACAAACATGTTTTTGAAAAACATGTTCGGTGTGTTTGTGGCTTTTGCGCTGACAATCTGTCTGTCAGGCCCCCGTAACGCTAAGCCAAGGCACCCAAGACGCACCTATAGAGAAGGAAGAATATGGAGAAATATTCGCTGATGTTTTCCACCAGCACACGACAGGGCGGTCCCCAATTTGCAAATAACACCTAAGTTGATCGCGCAATCGCGCGATGTCGTTGCAGCACCCCAGTTTCGAAGCAAAAGCCGCACCCTAACGCCCACTGCACCAATGCCATTTCTGCTTTGTATTGTGTTGCATCGCACGTGCACGCACACGCGCCTCGTGTATTTTGTATGCCTTCTTGGATGTTCGCAATGGCGTTCACAATGCTTTTGTGGATTTGCTTCGCTGTGTTTTGCCTTTCTTCCTGCCTTTGCTGGGACCCCCTGCAAATTGCCTAGGTTGCTCCCCAGGTTGGGCCCACATTTTTGTGCTGCACTTGGCCAAACCGCCAAACTCAACGCTTTCCCCAGAATGTGGACGGCAAAGGTCTGGGGTAGACCACTTTCGGTCGAAGTACACAGGACATATAGAGACATGCAGGAGTGATCAGGAATGTCACAGGTGTACAACGTGCCGAAGGAGCACCCCTTTCGAAACCAGTTGTTTCTCTTTAGTGTTGTCGAAAGCATCTGCGTTTTAAAGGAACTTCCTCCCCGGCCTTCCCAACCTGCCAGGACAGGTGCCACTCCTTCCACCTTCCTTCCTCCATCCTTGCCTTCTTACTCCTTGAACTTTCCTGCGTGGGTGCACACGGGGCCGCACACCATAGAGAGCGCCACACCATAGAGAGCGCCAGCCAGCTCAATCTGCACGCACAGGCAAGCGGCCCGCACCATACGCCAGCTCAAGTGGGGGCAAGCACGGGCCCGCACCCTGTAGGAAACGCCAATCGGTCTGGGCACGCACGGACCTGAACAATAGGGGTCGCCAGCTCGGTTTGGGGGTTTGGGCACGCATGGACCTGAGCACATAAAGTTACGCCAGATAGAATGCCAGGAAAATGTCAAAAAAGGCACGCCTGAAACCAGAAGGTAAGCCAGGTAGAAGGGCAGAATAAATGTCAGAAGATATGCTAGTTAGAACGCCGGAAGGCACACCAGACATTTGCTAGACAGGACGTCAGAAGATACCACGGAAGAATTTGCAGGAAGAATGCAAGAAAAGGCGTTGAGTCAGAAGATGTGCGGAATAGAAAAACTATGCCAAGTAGAATGCCAGAAAGGGTTCTCAGCAAATGTCACAAGATAGATAGAACCGCCCAAAAGATGCAGAACACATGCCAGAAAGAATGCCCGATGATGCTGGACAGAATGCTCGAAAGGATGTCCGAATACGTGCCAGTCTAGCTGTGCCACGGCAGGGGAAGGCCAGAAAGGTTGTCAGAAGATGTGCCAGATGCCAAAATATGGTGGACTGAATGCCGGAAAGGATGTCAGAAGATATACCATCAGGGGATACGCCTTATAGAAGATGCCAGGCAAAAATTGCCAGAAGACAAACCAAATAGAATGCCGGAAGGGAAGATGTGAGAAAGAAAGTCAGCAAGATGCCGGGAGATATGTAAATAGCCTGCCGGAAACCATGTTACAAAAGTGCCAGGTAGAGGGCCAGAAGACATGCAGGATGTCAGACGCCAGTGAAAACACTGCCATGTAGAAGGCAAAATGATGTCAGAAACTATGTCGGAATGTGGAATGCCTCACGGCAGAACAAACGTTGGAACAAGTGGCAGAACACATGTCTCAACAATTCTCAACATATCAGGGTCGAAGCCAGACCATGCGTCACAACACAAGTAAGAAGAGCACATGCCCAGATTGCTGCGAGACCACATGCCAGAAGCAAATGCCAGAAGATTATGAAAACACCTGCCAAACTTCAGGGCAGGACAAAAGTCAGAACACATGCCAACAGGGACGTCGGAACACATTCCCCGCCTTTATTATGATAGACGATGTGTCAGAACACATACATACCAGGCTTCATGCAAGAACAAGTGCAAGAACACTTTGTCAATGCACATATCAGGCACATGTGTCAGGATTGTCTGTCAACACGCGTGCCCAGCCCCTCCACTGCTTCTCAGGGTGGTGATCATTCGAAGCAAAATGATTGCATTTTTGGGGCTTGTCAAAGCCAGCCACCTTTGTCTGGGTGAGACAAGTGGGAATGCCATGCTGGATTGAAAAGAAAAAAGGTAGTCTGAAAAGCTCACAAAACCTGAACGAAAGCAGCGTTTTTACTTTCGAGTGTGCTTTCTCAGGCCACCCCCCGGAACCCCCCTTCTACTTCAAGTTCCCTTTCCGTCAACCGCTCAATAACCTTTACACATGCACAGTAAACCACAGCTTTGAAGTCCCATTCTTGCATTGAACTTATATAGGTGTGTAAGAGGTATAGCAACGTAGCATCTATACGGACCCAGGGTACCTACAATTCTGTCGCCAGGTGCCCCCACTTCAATTTCCCTACCCTGGGTCCGCGCGCGCGCGCGCCTTGCTGGCTCCCAGCTGCCCGTGATTTAGGCGCACGCACAGACCCAGGGCAGCTACAAGGCAGTTGCCAGGTATACCCAGGGTAGCTACAATTCAGTTGCCACGTATAGCGCTGCAACCAACCGAAGACAATTGCATTTCTTAAGATCACAAAAAGCACCTCCAAAACCTTGCTTCCGTGCACCCCTACACACCACCTACTTTCGAGTGTCCCAGCGTGGCTACAATTCAGTTGCCAGGTATAGTACTTCCAGTTCCCTTTCCGTCAACCGCTCGATAACCTTTACACATGCACAGCCAACCACAGCTTTGAAGTCTCATTCGTGCTTTGAACTTATATAGGTGTGTAAGAGGTATAGCAACATAGCATTTATACGGACCCAGGGTAGCTACAAGAGGCACCAGGGAGGCACCAGGGAGGCAGGAAAGGACCACTTGGAGGTCGCGAGCATGAGACTTCAAAGCTGCGGATTGCTGTAGGTGTGAAAAGGTTATCGGGCGGTTGATGGAAAGGGAACTTGAAGTACTATACCTGGTAACTGCACTATAGCTACCCTGGGTATCTATACCTGGCAAGGTGCCAACTACACCTTACCATTCAGATGATGCAAATGATGCAAATTGCATTTCTTGCATCACCACCCCTCAAAAATCACCTCCAACACGACCTCAAAAAACCTTCCATCCGTCCACCCTCCTCCCCCAGCATGTGCCGAGTTTACGTGTACCTTTTGCGGGCCACCCCCCCCAGCCCCCTAACTACTCACTTCGTTCGCCAAGCACAACTCAGCTGGCGCCTTCTACGAAGGCTGGCTTTCATAATATACTGTTAAATAGTATGTGCTTATACATATACATGCGTATGTAGGTATGTATGTATGTATGTATGCATGTATGTATGACGTATGCATGTCTGTCTCTGTCTCTGTCTCTGTCTCTGTCTCTGTCTCTGTCTCT